CCGCCGCCCTCCGCAAAGGCCCGCGCCGCCGCCTGACCATGGAGCAGAAGAAGCGCTCCTACTCGGAGCCGGAGAAGATGAACGAGGTGGGGGTGTCGGAGGAGGCCGAGCCTGCGCTCTCGGGTCCGCACCGGCCCGGGGTACTGCGGTACCCCGAGAGCAGCGTGGCCGACCGGCGCCGCCTCTTCGAGCGCGACGGCAAGGCCTGCTCCACGCTCAGCCTGTCGGGGCCCGAGCTGAAGCAGTTCCAGCAGAGCGCGCTGGCCGACTACATCGAGCGCAAGACGGGCAAGCGCCCCGCCGCCGCCGGCTGCGGGCCCCAGGAGCCGGGCGCCTACCTCCAGGCCCCCGACGGCCCGGGCCTGGCCTCGGCCTGCAGCCTGAGCTCGCTGCGGGAGCCCAGCTGGCAGCCCCGCAAGGAAGCCGCCCTCTCCCCGCCACTGCCAGCTGCAGCCACGGAGACCTCCAGGGCCCCTCGAGATCGCAGCAGCTCCTTTGCCTTCGCGGGTGCGCGCTTCCATGGAGAACGGCCACGCTGGGATCCCCCGACCCCGAGGGAAATGCTCAGTGGTGCTAGCTGCGGGCCAAGGGGCACCCAGAAGCTGGACAGAAACCCTGGAGAGTCTTCATCCTGGGGGGCCGTGGCCAGGAGGACCGGGAAGTCCATGTCAGCTGAGGACCTGCTGGAGCGCTCCGATGTCCAGGCTGTCCCTGTCCACGTGCGGTCCAGGTCGTCTCCCACTGCAGACAAGAAGTGCCAGGTGAGTGTGGAGCCAGTAGGGTGTGGTCCTGGAAGATCCTCTAACCCCTTCCTTTTTTTTTGGTTCAGTTTTCCTTTTAAATAGAGAAAAGTACCATTTGTTTTCCTGTAATTTTTTTTTTTCCCTCAGCACCCCAACCTGGTTTACCTTCAGAGATATAATGTCTGTATAGTTATATAGCTATCTTACATAGCAGTGTATTATATGGTTAGGGAAAGTGAAGGATTATCTCTTCCCCCACCCCCACCCCTTGGAGACCGTGTATGAATAGTGCATCTACAAATTAGCAATAGAATTACTGACAATGATACTCATTGGTGGTTGATTTCTTCCTGGCCAGCAATTAATGATGCTTTACACTTACTCGTCTTTCTGTGATTTTCATCTGAGCTCTGAAAGAAGGAAAAATTAGACTTTGAAGATTTCACATCAAAGCATTTTCCGATGAAGGCTCTAAACTGTGCAAAGATTTTTATGGGGCTGGGAAGGTGGCTCAGTGGTAGAGTGCTTGCCTTGCATGCATGAGGCTCTGGGTTCGATTCCTCAGCACCACTTAAGCAGAAAAAAAAGCCGGAAGTGGTGCTGTGGCTCAAATGGTAGAGCGCTAGCCTTGAGCTGAAGAGCTCACGGACAGCACCCAGGCCCAGAGTTCAAGGCCCCATGGCCGGACCCAAAAAATTTAAAAATTTAAAAAGTTTAAAAAAATTTTTTAAAAAAAGATTTTAATATATGATTTTTACTCTCCTCAGGAAATTTCAAGCACCTAGACCCAGAATCTGAGCATTTGGGTCTAGAAGTTGGTTAATTTTCCTAATCCTCATGTCTTTTCTGGCTCTCCTTTTAGACATCAGAGGCCAGCCCCTAGTTCCTTTCCCAGTGAAGATGTAGGAATTCACCTGTGGGTTGGCCAGGGAGAAAGAACACCCCTCCATTACTCCTTATTAGACTTACCTGTTTCCACTGGAGAAAGTCAACCATCCCAACAAGGGTTTGTGGAGCTTACATTGTCTGAAAAATGCCATGTTGGAGGATAGAAGGAAATAACAAAGAAAATAGGACTTATATTTTGCCAGGGCGGTGCAATTAATATATTAGAAAATTCTGGAGGAGTGGAGATAAACCCGATGCTATAGAAGAAACTTCTGAAGGAGATAGGATTTGAACCTGGTGCTAAAAGATGGGCAGGACTTCAATGGAGAATTTGGGTATACACTAACAGGAGAAGAGCACTTTTAGACAATGGTTTAATAGTTAGGCAACTCGGAAGTCTGCATTGTTTTTGAAACACATGAAGTTATACACAGCCCTCTGAAAGAAAATTCTGTAATTTCCCAGATATTTTCTGCTCAGAATTATCCAGTGATAGATCTCCCAGTATAAATTCCCATCCTACCCATACATACACTTTCTATAAGCCTTCTGTGGCAAATTTCTTCCCTTCCAAGTGAAAAGCAGTGCTAATTTCCGCTCCTTACCCTACCATTAAAACTCATGTAAAATGTGGGCTGGGAATGTGGCTTAGTGGTAGAGTGCTTACCTAGCATGCATGAAGCCCTGAGTTTGATTCCTCTGGACCACATACACAGAGAAAGTGAGAAGTGGCACTGTGGCTCAAGGGGTAGCGTGCCAGCCTTGAACAAAAGAAGCTCAAGGACAATGCCTAGGCCCTGAATTCAAGCCCCAGGACTGGCAAAAACAAACAAACAAAAAAAAACCCTCATGTCAAATTCATGTGTACTGTGATATTTTAGTTAGCTTTGTAGACACCAGTATTTGACTGATGGCAGTTTAAACATTTTCTCTTTCTCTCTCTCTCACCCAGTGTTGTAAAGAAGATAGAAATTCTTGGGTGAAAGCCCCATCAGCTTTCCATTTTTCTTTTTTTTTTGGGGGGGGGGGTCCGGTTGTGGGGCCTGAACTCTGGGCCTGGGTGCTGTCCCTCAGCTCTTCAGCTCAAGGCTAGCACTCTACCGCTTGAGCCACAGTGCCACTTCCGGCTTTTTTCTTTTTTTTTTCTTATGTGGTGCTGAGGAATCGAACCCAGGGCCTTGAGCATGCAAAGCAAGCGCTCTACCACTGAGCCACCTTCCCAGCCCACTTTTTGGCTTTTTCTGCCTATATGGTGCTGAGGAATCAAACCCAGGGCCTCATGCATACGAGGCAAACACTCTACCACTGATCCACCTTCCCAGCCCAGCTTTCCATTTTTCTGACTCAGGGAATTTCCTGGGTAACTATGAATATTATTTTTTGCCTTTTCCTCTAAATATTTCACAAGCCTGGCCTGTTGAGAAATAGAGTTAAGTAAAAACATAGTTGTTGTAGGGAAGTGAACAGACTCCCTCAAGTTCCCACTATGTATATTATTTGAAAAACTTTAAGATAACTAAATACAGTAAGATAACTAAATACAGAATGTTCAGATGGCCCTTAAATAAAGAGAATACCACACATAGATATGTCATTTAGGAAATATGAGGCCATGGGGGAAAAGTTCTCAAAATGAAATATCATTTTTGTGCTGCTTCGTACCAACACATTCTGGAAAATTCTTGAGTTTCCTTCTCTCATTTCCCCATCTAGCAGCCAGCACTTAGCCTAAGAGAACAGCCTCCCTCCCCCATGGTTTGCCCTTTGCAAGGCTGTTCCCTAACTCCCTTATTTGTGGTTAAAACAAAATAATTAAAGTCCATCGGACCAGCATTGGTCTGAGAGACAGATTCCCAGGGTCTGCTCTTTGCATACTGTTCCCTAACTCCCTTATTTGTGAGTGAAACAAAATAGTTAAAGGTAAAACGGGGGAATGAGGATGTAGACCAAAGATAGAACACTCAATTTTCATATACAAGGCCGAAGATTTTAATCCCAAGCATTAGCAACAGAAAGAAAATGAATCTTACCTTGTAACTAATTGAGTTACTTGTTCAAACTACATTCTGAGGGCTGGGAAGGTGGCTCAGTGGTAGAGTGCTTGTCTCACATGCACGAGGCCCTGGGTTCAATTCCTTAGCACCACATAAGCAGAAAAAGCCGGAAGTAGAGCTATGGCTCAAGTGGTAGAGCTCTAGTCTTGAGCTGAAGAGCTGAGGGACAGCGTCCAGTCCCAGAGTTCAGGACCCAGGACTGACAAAACAAAAAACAAAAAATACAGTCTGACTTTTGAAAATGTTTTTAATAGATTCTAAGAACTTTACCATTACCATTAAGCTTTTGTGAAGGTTTATTATTTTCCTTATCATAGAGAACTTGTACAAGTTGAGTGACCTTATAGAGAATGAGCTAAAATGAAAATGTGGACTCTTATTTGTGACTCTGACTTATTTTAAGACATCTTCAACATCATCCTGTTCTTGCCAATCAGATGCTAATAGAGCAGGGTTTTATGAGTCTGTTTTGTTTTGGTGTTACTGGAGTTTGTAGTCTAGGCTTTGTCCTTGCTAGGCAGACACTACCACTTGAGCCACATCTTCAAGCCATCTTTATTATTATTTATTTATTTATTGGTATTAGGGTTAAACTCGTCATACGTATTAAACAAGCACTCTACCATTATAAACATTTAACAAGGGAATACTTCTCAAAATTCTATTAGTGAGGATACTTTCTGTCTCCAAAAGCAAGTCATGATGAGAATCTATTTTCCATATGACAGTTGTTCTCAGCCTGAAGTAATGACTGAATTGAAAATAGCCTGAGATCTGCTCAGATATTTGGCAAGATTGAGCCTCTCCTTAGCTAGCTTGGTGTCCTGTCTAAAACATGTAGCCTCCCATTTTCTCGCTTTAATTTCCTCATCATTTGAACAGTATAATTATAGAACAGATAAGATAGCAGGGATGAAGCTTCAGAGCACATCTTAGTAACTTTGTGCAGACCTTGGAAAACAACTTGTAAAGTGGATAGGCCCTGCAGAGCAGTAGAAAAATACTCAAGTATTCTGCTTCAGTAACACATTTACCCCCTCTTTATTGCATAGACTAAAATATACTAGAACCTATTAAAAAAAAAAAAAACCCCTTGGGAGAAATAAGATTCCTGGTGGGGATTTGTTTCCAGATGCTGAGTGAGCAGCTTCTCTGGTTCCCAGATTCACCTTGTGATGGTGTGGCAGACTTTGTTTAGCTGCTAAGGAAGTTGTCCAATCAACAAATGGCATCACAGTGCTGGATTCCATGGCTTGATTTCATGGGGCACAGCTAGTAAGCCCTTTCTAGCACCTCTCAATAAGCAATCATTTAATTTTAGGCATAAAACAACCAACTCTCTACAAAATGTGAAGTTACAAGTAAATAACCATAATCAAAACTGGTGAGATCACCAGTCATTAAACTAAGTGTAAAGTATAACATTCACAAATATAGTAGAGCTGTGGCTCAAATGATACAGTGCTAGCCTTGAGCAAAAAGCAAAGGAACAATGCCCAGGTGCTGAGTTCAAGCCCTAGTAATAACTTTCTTGCTCTCTTGCTCTCTTGCGCTCTCTTGCTCTCTCTCTCTCTCTCTCTCCATAGATAGATATCTGTATATGTATATAATTAGTGCAATTATATCAATGCAATTATATATATAGGCCCTAGTAATAACAATATATACATACATATATATATGCATATATATACATATCAGTGGAATTATTTATATATTATTACTTCTGTGTTAAAAAAGAGGAATGGACATCCAGGGAGGGTAAGAAATTGGCCCAAGGTGGTTGAGAATCATGATTTGACTCCATACTGTCTGACTTCAGAGTCCTTAAGTCACTATGCTATGCCGACTTGGGAATAGAGGCTAAGGTAGGGAAGGGAAGCAAGAGTCAAACAGCTTACCTCCTATCATCCAGAGAAATGAGTTCATGTTTATGTTTATCAATTACTATAACATTTAGGGGAGATTTTTCATATGGATCTTTAATTTTAATCAATTTCTATGCCACAGAGATATTTGAATGCCTTAACACAGGACCAAAGAATGAGGATTGGGATTCAAAACACTTAGAATCCTAAATTTGCCAGTATCTTTTTAAATCAGTTTTGAGATAATTAACAAAAAATAAATTCAGTTGGTATAATTCTATTTCTGATATTTCTCTCATAATGTATTTCTCCACTTTAATGCCTTCTTTATAGAAAATTTAAGAAAAATCAAGTCTTGACAATGAGCATATATTAAAATCACAGTGAGAACATGCAACGAGAAGTCGGGTACCACTGGTTCATGCCTGTATTCTAAGTACTCAGGAGGCTCAGATCTGAGGTTTGACATTCAAGGCCAGCTCAGGCAGGAAAGTCCATAAGACTCTTATCTCTAGTTAAACACCAAAAAGCTGTAAATGAAGCTGTGGCTCAAGTGGTAGAGTACTAGCCTTGAGCAAAAGAGATCAGGACCCTGAGTTTAAGTCCCAGGACTAGTACCCAAATTTTTAAAAGGGGGAAAAAAAAGAAAAATACAATGAGAATTTAGACTCCTTGGGCTTCTAGTTTGGGAAAGCATATTCTGTAGGTCCAAATAGTATTTTGTTTGACCAGAAATTTAAAGAATTTTCTCACTAACCTATAAATAACCATATAAAGAACAATTTAAAGTTGAAACTCAGGGACCAGATCATTTGGATACAGAAGTTAGTTTCATTTCATACTGAAATGCAAAGAATATAAACATAAATAAACTATACTGCTTTAGGAGTTCAAATGGGGCTTGGGATTATTCCAAATAATTACTGACAAAGTGGCATCTTCTTGTCAACAGAGGAAAGGGGTGGGTGGGAGATGATATAAAAGACCATAAGATTTTATGGGGCACAGGAATTTCTATAGGCTGCTTTTCTTCTTTGAGCAATCTCTGGCTCTCTGTGTCTCTGTGTGTCTCTCTCATCCACACAAACATGTACATGTTATGAACACTAATATTCCAGGCATATAATTTGTAGATTGCAAGGGGTACTTAGTGGTATCTGGCACACAGCAAATTCCTAATGAGGGAGAGCTCCAGTTATCAACACTCAAAATGTTTGTTTGTTCTTCCACCACCTTTGCATTTTCCTTGCTTATGAATGCCTCTACTTCGGACTGAGGCAGGGAAAGAGCCAAAGGGGATAAAAAGCCATTAAACCTTGGAACAGGCTAAATGGTGAGCTGAATCATTAAAAGTAAGTTTCAGATTGTCTGTGAATTTTAGTTAGGAGTTGAATGTATTATCTTTATCATGGATCAGACCACCTGGGATAGACTTTACATTATCATTTGATATTATTTACCCTTCAGGACTCTATAATGTACCCTTATTTAAAAACTATCCCAAAGAAGTCCTCAGACTTCAATTGTGGATTTTTTTTTTTTTTACAAAGTGGGAATACAATTTGGGATTACAAACCAAATTCAGATCTTCTCTTACTATACCTCAGAGTACTTGAGCTTTTTCTCAAGATTCAGTAATCCTCCTTTTTCTGTCATTTCTCATGTTTCCTTCTAGTCATTGGAGTCACTGTTGTCAACACTGCATTTCAGGGGTTGCAGTCATTTTGAACTCTGGAGATAAGCAGACAGATTAAAGTTCAAATCCTGACTGCCACTTTTGGTCTTGAGCCTATGTCCAGGTTGATGCTGTTGAGACTAATACTACCTAGAACTTTGAGACCTAAATGTAAAGTATGCCATAGTGCCTAACAATATTAGGTTTCCTTCCTCCTCCCTGTACACTACTGGCCAATGTAAACACGTGTTTTACTGGTAATTATGCTGTGCCTTTCTTATGTTTCAAGGATGTGCTCTTGGGGGAAGACAGTGGCTTTGGTTTTGTGAAGAATCCATGTCACCCGACTGACTCTGGATCTACGTATGTATATATACTTCCCATACCCTCTGCCTATGCATGCTCTTGGGGTCAAGCTACTCCTGGTCCTTTATACAGGAGACGGAAGTGGGACATGGTGTTGAATAACATCAAGGGCTGCCTTTTCAGTAGCCTGTGGGAAACATTTCATTTATAAGTTGAATTTTTCTAAGAATGACACTTGGTACAGAATGGGCTCTGAATGGCTGCTATTGAGGCAACATTTGATTTCTATTGAGTTGGCTGTCAGGATAGTTAATGGCAATGCTTCTCTCAATATAACTGGTGACCGTGCACACATGGGACCTAGCTCGTGTGGCTGATCTCTCCCAGGTATATGTGTGTACGCACGTCAGGTCTGACAACAAAAGAACCAGGGAAAGAGTAGGCATTCCTTGAACTGCTTCACTGAGTGAGACAAATGTACAGTAAGCCACGTCATCATCATGAGAGATAAAAGGCAGCAAGAAGTCATTTAAGAAAATCAGTTTGCCTTCAAAATCATGTCTTCTAAGTGGAATGGTCTAATAGACTATTTTTTTTTAACGTTTTGAACAAGTATAGATGTCCCAAGAGGGTTTTCCTTGAACTACATCAATGAATAGTTTTCATGCTACAGCCTCATAGGGCTGTCTGCCACAATATTATTATTACTAATGATAATGTACTTAACTGTTCTCTGCCACTTTGCAAGGTTTTTCAAGTCAGTTTTTCCATTTTTCTCAATTCAACTATGCCATGGAAGTGAAGACCATGCCCAGAGCATCTGCCTCTGGTTGTTTAACTTCCTCCCGGGGGTGTCCTCCAAGGAGTGCAATACAGCCCTTCTTAGGTGTGGAGGGGCTGTGTTGGGGAGGGAGGAGCTACATCTGGGAGAGAGATGGGCTATGGATTAACCATCTGCATCTTTATTAAAGAACAATACATTCAGCCTGGAGAAGAGCCGATTCGGTTCTCTGCAGGCTATGTTATCCTGGCCTGGCACGCAGTGGGTTTAGTGGCTGACCCTGCAGTGTTGCTGTGATGTGGGAGTGAGGCCCAACCCCCTCCTAGGAAGCAGTGCCATCCGCTCTCTTGCTCTCTCGTCAGGGACTGCAGATGTGGCATTTACTGATGATTTGCTGTCTCCTAGCTTTGGCATTGCTGTCTGTCAGTGCTGCAGTCTGTTTTCTTATTCTTTTGTTTCCGTGTTTGAAAGGGGGAAAAAAATACTGCTGTCTAGAGAACAGTTTAAATCACCATGCACCATTTTTGCTTCTTACTGCATTGTCTTTCCTTATGATGAGCTCCTCAGTTCCGATCTCCCCTTTCTGTTGTTCATCTTAGGAGATGAAAACACTGGGAGACTCGGAAACAGTTGTAAGTAAACCTTCCAAATTTGCCAGGCACTAGTGGCTCATGCCTGTAATCCTAGCTACACAGGAGGCTGAGAGCTGAGGATCATGGTTCAAAGCCAGCCAGGGTAGGATAGGATAGACCATGAGACTCTTATCTCCAATTAACCGGCAAAATACCAAAAGCGAAGCTGTGGTTCAAATGGTAGAATGCCAGCCTTGAGTGAAAAAGCTGAGGGAACATAGGCCCAGGGCCTACGTTCAAGCCCCAGTATTAGCAAAAAAAAAACCCAACAAAATAAAGCCCATGCAAGCTCTCCAAGTGCACCACCCCCAGACCTGGTGTTGGCAGGAGGCAGAAGCTGTTCCACCAAGCAGTCCTAAAAGGGCCTGGCAGCGTCCTCCTCCTGTCCTTTCCTGTCATGCGGCCTGCCCTCAAAAGCCACATGTGTGGGCACACGCGCATGCGTGTGGTATGTGCGTGAGGGTTACCAGCAGGAAATGCCCTGAATGCAGGCATTTTTTTTAGGCCTTCATAATACTTTGTTCTGACTACAAGCAGCCAGGGAGAGCTGTTGTTGTGGTCCCATCGCTGAACCATCTGTTGATTGTGATCCTCATTTCTTCTTGTTCTTCTACATCTATGTGAACCTAGGGCTCAGTGCCTGCCCTCTCTCAAGACACTAACCCTCTGACCTGTGCCCTATTCCAGGTTGCTCAGTTGTTCTGACAGAGGCCGAGAAGAGACTCCGGTGCCCCTCCATCCTCCCACCCCACGCTGGGACAGCTCAGGCTGCAAAGCAGCCAGTATTTGTTCGGTTCCTAGTGAGTGTCCCAAAGCCAGCAGAATGCAAGGGCTCCTCCCAGACACTCGGGCTGCCGCCTTGACCCCACACAGCTCCCCTCTGCCTTCACCTGTTCCCTCCTCCAGTTACTGCTCGCAGCTGGCCTCTGATCCGCAGAGTGGAAGGGATGGTCAGGCAGGGCGACAGCCTCTTGCACCCTACACCCCTGGAGGGCCCCACAGAAGCGATGGTCTGATCCAGCCTCCCAGCCCAGAGCATGGGGTAGAAGAAGGCGCGAGGAAGAGGGCCAGTCTGCCCCAGCGGCCCCCTCCTCCTCGGGTGAAGTGGGCTCACATAGCGACAGAGGACGGCCTCTCCCAGGATGCCTCAGCACTCGAGTTCGCAAACCTGAAGCACTACCACAAGCATCAGACGAGTCTTCCGAGTTCATGCAGCACTTCAGACCCAGATACTCCTGGCAGGGTCTCGCTGCGCATCTCTGAGTCTGCCCTGCAGACCTCCCCACCGCTCCGGGAGGACTGTGAGGACGAGGTGTTTGTGAAGGACTTGTACAAGGCCACCTCCAGCCCCACATTTGAGGCCCTTCCCCCACCTCCACCTCCTCCAGTGAGCCAGGAAGCCCCCGTGAATCCCTCGGATGACTTTCCTCCGCCTCCTCCCCATGTGGTGTTTGAGGAATTGGAAGATAACCAGGCCTGCGAGGAGCCTGGCAGCAGGTAAGTGACGCCTCCAGGCCTGGCAGTCATGGTAGAGGAGGACCAGGGCTGCCCTCGCGAACAGAAACCCAGGTGCAGGCCTTCCAAGTCCTGCTGTGCATGGAAAGCCCTCAGCTTTTCCAGAGCTCAGCTCAGCCAGAGAGCTGTTTCCTTTGCTAGCTCGGGGTGGTGAGCCTGCCAGTGTTTGTTAGGCACCAAGGAGCTAAGGGTAGTGAGAAAGAAAGCCCAAACCAAACCCTCCTCCCTGCCACGGCGAAAGAATAAAAAAGAGGACGGTATATAGAAGGTAAAAATCCTGCCTTATTCCCTAATAGAATGTCACTTTTCAATTCCTACTCTTATCAAGAGTATAAGGGGGTCTCCCAAAATCAAACCCCAAAATAAGTGGATTTGTCATAGGCTGTGCGAGAGCGAGCGAGCGAGAAAGAGAGAGAGCGTGCTTGTAGGCAGCCTTTTTTCTATCTGGAGCCACTTTGTGTCCACAGGCAAGAACAAAGAGTAGAACTAAAATCCATGGTGTTTAGGGGAAAGCTCTTCTTTGGAAGCCACAAGAACAGGGAAGAAGCATTTCCCAACATGTAGTTCCTGGGACTAAGTGAACTCTCTACCAAGAAAAATCAAAACAAACCCCTTGGGGTAGCATTCCTAGTACCACAATTATGACTTGTCACCACTACTTTCTCTTCACCTCAACCTTGCAGAAAATTCTAGAGTGTGATAGCAACCTTCACCAAAACTGATTCCCATCATATCTCTCCTGTAGATAAACGAGACTAAGCTCAGCTTAGAACCCCTGTGTGGGGGAAGATGACCCCAAAATGCAACCCCTTTCCCTTCTCCTGATATGGGAAGTGACTCTTGCTCTTCCTCTACCCTCTTCCCTTCACCTTCTACTGACTATTCTCTTACCTCTATTTTTTGTACCCTTAGCAGCAGCTCCAGCAAGTTTTCCAAGGTGACAGTTACAAGAGAAAGACACATGCCTGGTGCAGTCCCTGTAGTAAGCAGTCAGATCCTGGCTCCCAGACCCCACACTGTCAGAGGTTCAGAGGCCAGTGAGTCCAACCCACACACCATCGTGAGTGTTCAGCCTCAACTTGCTGGGTCTCTTGGCCAACAGCCAAGCCCAGAACAGCCACCTCCCAGCCGGACCCAAAGCTTCCTCCATGAACCAGTGGGTGGAACTCTGGATACAGAAACAAATGTCAGTCCTGTTCCTCAGAAGACCTCAGAAGACAGCAGAACAGAGGCTCTGGCCAAGGAAATTGTCCACCAAGACAAATCTCTAGCAGACATTTTGGACCCGGACTCCAGAATGAAGACAACTATGGACTTGATGGAAGGCCTGTTCCCCCGAAACATTAATACACTGAAGGAAAACAGCACGAAGAGGAAGGCCCTGCAGAGAACTGTCAGCTGTCCAGGATATGAAGGCAAAAGGTAAGGCCCTGGCAGTGTCCCCAGGGAGGCTCACACTAGAACTCCTTCCACAGGGTGATGTTAAGGCAAGGTATGTTTATCTGATGTTCTGTTTCCACACGTCCCTGGCCCAAGAGAGACATTTCATGTCAGCCTTAGGGGCGCTGTGATGCAGAGTAGAGGATAGGACAGATATCCAACAACAAAATAATTGCCTCTAATACCATTCTTCATGTTCTATGTATCAGGCATTGTGGTAATTTCCTTACACATCATCTCATTTCATCTTTAGAAGAACCTCTCTGAAAGAGCTACCACTTTTGTTTTACTAATATGAGAACTGAAGCCTAAAGGGTCATGCTCTACCGAGGTCATATTATTGAGGGCATCTAGATTTGAACTCAGGCCTCCCCGAGGCTGAAGCTAGAGAGTGTTTTGGTAGTACTGAACATTCACCTGCCCAGATCCTGAAAGTTGAGGGTGTAAGAGGGGCGTGCTCTCCTGCCGCTGTGTGGGCCCTGGGCTCTGCTCTAGAAGCTCCTCTCATCACCCCCCCCCCCCACTCAGCCAGTGCCACCCACATGGTGAGAGAACAGCACGGTCTCTATTTCCCATTCCTTCCTTTTCACTTGGATTATTGCAATGGTTTCTCAAATATTTGATTTCCTTAAAGGACTACTGTGGGGAGGATTTTTATACTCTTGATTTTCAGTGAAAACTGTGTGTATTAACAGATTGCAACTCAGCAGTGAGTAGCTTCCAGACCAAATAAAAACAGAACATTTCAGCCACATTTGAGCTTGCCTTTTAGAACTCTCCCGATGTTCATAACGCCATTGCTAACAGGAACACCAGGTCTTGTAGGGAGAAGGGAAAGAGTTATTTAATACTTGAAGCTATCTAATTGTGCTATTAGAGGTCATCCTCATGGAAGGCCCCATAGTTACCCTGTCCCTCCCTTTATTTTCAGATTTGAGCAATAGAGGTTAATTGAGATAAAGTGATTTATCCGGGGCCGTGGTGGGTGTCATATGGTCATTCTGTTATCTGACTGCCTGCTGTTACATGACTGAGCCACTTCCGAATGCACTGATGCAGTTGCATCAAAAACCTAATTGAAGCCTGGCACCAGTGGCTCCTGCCTATAATCCTAGCCACTCAGGAAGCTGAGATCTTAAGGACAGTCCATGTGACTCTCGTCTCTGAATTAATCTGAAAAAATAAATTAAAAAATAATAACATAAGCAAAGTTGTGGCTTAAGTGGTAGAGCACCCTGGAGGGCACCCAGGCTCTTAGTCAAAGCCCTCATAATGTCATATGCCCATGCATGCACACACACATTTTTAAAGTAATTTTAAAATACATCCTTAGAGGGGCTAGTAGTAGAAAGCTTGCCCAGCACACACAAAGCCAAAAGTTCAATTCCCAGTTGAAGAGCCTGAGGGGGAGGGATCCTTTTAGGAGTTCCTGTAGAACTCTCTACTCAGTCAATTTGGAAGTGAAATGGTCCTGCTGCTTTTCTGAAGGATTTCAGAAGGGTGGCAGGCGCCATCTCCTGGTAAAAAGAAGCATTGTGAGAGGAGCTAGAAAGTAGCCATTGTAAGGTTTAATCAGACCACCGAAGAAGCCTATTCGTAATGCATCAGATACTCTGATAACAAAAGTTGAAAACCCATGATGTATAATGAGAACTTTTTCCTGTTCTCTCATCAACTGAGTTAACTGTAGATATGCTACTTAGATGGGCAGTCATTAAGCAGGAAACCAGTAAAGATGATTCTTTGTGTATGTGTTCCTAATTCCATAATAAAATAATGGGTGTATATTAGTTAAATAAGACCACAGACTAAATGAAATTCCTCTCCAGGAAAGCTTATCTTACTTCTGTAGAGTCATTTAGTGAGTGGTATCTGAATTCTTGTCTGGGTCTGGGCACGTAGCTCAGGAGTAGAGCCTGACTAGGGTACGTGAAGCTCTGGGTTCCATCTAGCACCACAAAAATGTAAAGGCTGGGCTGAAAGGCCAGATTGAAGTCAACTAAGAAAACAGACTTCCTATGTCCTACTCATGTGAGCCCCCTGGTACTGGTGTTTGAACTCAGGGCCTTGAGCTCTCACTTGGCTCCATTTCTAGCTCTTTGCCTGTTCACTGGAGATAAGTGTCTCACAGAGTTTTCTGCTTTGGCTGAATCACTAGCATCTGGTCCCACTCCTCTTGGGCTGGGAAGGTGGCTCAGTGGTAGAGTGCTTGCCTTGCATGCATGAGGCCCTGGGTTTGATTCCTCAGCACCACATAGGCAGAAAAAGCCAGAAGTAGCACCATGGCTCAAGTCGCAGAGTGTTAGCCTTGAGCTGAAGAGCTGAGGGACAGTGCCCAGAGTTCAGGCCCTACAACTGACTCACCCCCCAAAAAAAAAAAATTCTTTTCTACAGTCTTCAAACACCGTATACTCAATAAATAGATTTTACGTTTTGTATTAGGCCCGCACATTCCAAATTTTCCATGCTTAGATAGGTATGCAGCTTACAATGAAAACTTAAAAGTACCTAAGCAATAATACAGTAGGCATCAGAAGGATGGGTAACTGCAGAAAACAAGGAGATAACCTAAAGCCTGGATGTGAGCAGCACCTGGAAATACTTTCCTGTTGATCAAACCATTGCTCCGTTTTGGTTTTGTATGGAACAAGAAAATAAATGGGCTAAATGGTTTGCCTGAGTCCTGACTCCCGTGGTTTTCTAGCTCCAGTGTGCTTCACTTCAGTAATTCTGAACACAGGAATCACTTATTAGTAAACGTTTGCTAAGCTATCCCAACTTCTGGGAAAGATATACAATAGATCTTTTTATGTATTTCTGGTCAGATGAAGGTAGGGGTGTGTGTGTGTGTGTGTGTGTGTGTGTGTGTGTGTGTGTGTGTGTGTGTGTGTGTGTGTGTGTGTGTGTGTGTGTGTCCTGGGGTCAGATGAAGGTAGGTGTGTGTGTGTGTGTGTGTGTCCTGGGGTCAGATGAAGGTAGGTGTGTGTGTGTGTGTGTGTGTGTCCTGGGGTCAGATGAAGGTAGGGGTGTGTGTGTGTGTGTGTGTGTGTGTGTGTCCTGGGGTGTTACAATAGATCTCTTTATGTATTTCTGGTCAGATGAAGTTTCTGGTATGTGTGTATGTGCGTGTGCGTGTGTAAATGTCCTATGTGTCCTGGGGTGTGTGTGTGTGTGTGTGTATGTATGTAACTGTCCTATGTGTTCTTTGTGGCCCAGGAGTGAAGACAAGGAAGCAGCAGGAGTGTTAGTCAACTGCCCTGCCTACTACAGTGTGTCTGCTGCCAAGGCTGAGCTTCTGAACAAAATCAAAGATATGCCAGAAGAGGCGCCTGAAGACGAGGAGGATGTCAATGAAAAAAAGGTACATAACATAAGGAACGGGACTCCTTGCTCTGCTTCCCTCTGGTAGTTAGGCCTTCCGGCCTCCAAATCAGGAGGGACAGGGACTTGTGGCAGCACCTTGCCAGAAACATCATTACTAGGCTTTGGATTGACTTGGTGCACCGGTTTGTTTCCTACGAGTAACTTTCCTGTAACTATGGCAGGTAAGCTACTGTCAGAGAGATGTCTTAACAGTCTCATAGCTAGAAATTGGACCCGGGTCCCCAACTTCCTAGTCCAAGGATTCCAACACTGTTCACAGCAGCAGTGCATGTGGTTTTCATGTCATAGCTTATGATCAAAAGGAAAATTAGCAGCTGGTGGTGTCATTCAGTACTAGAGTCCTTACCTAGCATTGCACAAGGCTCAGGGTTTGATCCTCAGTGCCTCAAAACACAGTACTGAAAATGTTTTGTTTTCCCTTTTTGAGGGGTAGGAAAAGTGGGGCACAGGAATGGAGGGACGAAGGATAAGTAAATGCAGTCATTGTATTCAGTATATACTATGTAAAAAATGAACTCTAATTTGTGGGTAGGATGTGGGGGGGGAGAGCCAGGGGAATCGAAGGACGGGGTGACACTAAGAAGAATTGTACTCATAATCTGACTCATGAAATTGTAACCCCTTTGTACAACTCCTTAAAAATAACAATTTAAAAAGTAAAAATACCGAATAAAAATCAGAGAATCTAGAAGATTTAACATTCATCTTAATCCATTCCCCAGCTCTCTTTGTAATTCCTCAATGAAGAGCTTAAAGGAGCATAATTAGAATTCAGTTGTTAGCATTTGGTCCTCCTACAGAGATTTTAAATGTCAAACATTTCTAAAATGACCTTGCTACTCCCACATGCCATGGAGCTCTAAGCCAGGCTGTGTCTGCAGGGAGAATGTTCTTGTCATTCCCCTTTCCCTCTCCCCTTTCCACCTGGCTTAAAGCTCTCCTGTATACCCAGGCACACACGCTCAAAAGGATGCTCCAAGCTCGCTTCGTGTTGAGAATGTAAATGGTTGTCAGTGAAGCTTTGTTTCTTTTGTGCTATGTCTCCCAAGACTTAATGGGTGAAGCATAGGACATAAACACCAGGAGGAGGAAGGGACTGGAAGTATTCTTCCAGGTCTGGGAGCTTAGGGTCATCTGCCACCTCCCAGACCACTGGTTTCTATCCAGATACTTCTCTGTCCCCATCACTCTGTGTTTACCCCAAGGACAGAGCCACATAAACACCATTGCATGTATCATGTTGCTATGGCAACATGATATATATAGAGATGTTTGTTGTCCTGGTTTCTGCTATCGACATACCTGAATTATAGTAGCAAATTACTCATCTCCCCATCAAATGTTAGGTTTTAATTCCTTTTCATTATTTTATCATCACCTTCTCTGATAACATGGCAAAAAGTATTTTCAGACTTTGAGAATATGAAAGGATATAAGACTACTTCATTTTCTTTTTATTTGGGGGGGGGTGGGTCCAGTCGTGGGGCCTGAACTCTGGGCCTGGGCGCTGTCCCTCAGCTCTTCAGCTCAAGGCTAGCGCTCTACCACTTGAGCCATAGCGCCACTTCCGGCTTTTTTCTTTTTACTTATGTGGTGCTGAGGAATCGAACCCAGGGCCTCATGCATTCAAGGCAAGCACTCTACCACTGAGCCACCTTCCCAGCTCAAGACTACTTCATTTTCATAGGAAATAGTACTAGCTACAGTTCAGGTAGGCTTTGTTTTTCTACATTGTACTGTATTTAGTTTGCACTAGCACTGGAGCTTGAACTCAGGGCCTAGGCACTTTCCCTTAGCTTTTCCACTCAAGGCTGGTATTCTATCACTTGAGCCACAGCTCCACTTCTGGCTTGTTGAAGTCTCACAGACTTTTCTGCCTGAGCTGGCTTTGAACCCTGATCCTCAGATCTCAGCCTCCTGAGCAGCTGGGATTACAGATGTGAGCTACTGGCACCCAGTTCCCATTCAGAGTTCTTTTGGTTTGTTATTCTTCCTCCCCCCCCTCCCCCAGGCTGTAAATGACTTGGGAGTTGAAGTGAGTTTGTAAATATAAGATGACGGGTTCACTGAGAACACACATTTCTGCTTCCAGACCCTTCTTTGCAAATCTGAGCAAGCACCCAGTCTGTCCTGGAGTCTGTGGGCTGGGGAGGAAGATGGACTACTTTAGGACAGCATTGAAAACCTTCTGATTGACATACACACTGTGCTAGGGGAGCCCAAAGGAACAAGATTAACTACCCCAGAGGATGGAGGCAGGGAAGGCTACCTGGAGGAAGGAGAACTGACCTCTATGTGAGAATGTGTCCACATGAATGGGGATGAGAGAAAAAGACATTCAAGGGACTGGGAATGTGGCTTAGTGGTAGAGTGCTTGCCTAGCACACATGAAGCCCTGGGTTCGATTCCTCAGTACCCCATACACAAAAAAGGCTTAAAGTGCTGTGATTCATGGTTGAGTGCTAGCCTCTAGCACAGAGAGGCTCAGGGACAGTACCCAGACCTGAGTTTCAAGCTTCAAGACTGGCCAAAAAAAAAGACATTCAAGACAGGGAAATGCATGGGGGAAACTTGAGAGAAGAAAAATCAAATGCTGTAAGCAGGAAGGACAAATACTTGGAAATAGTTGGCATTTGGGAATGTAAAATAAAAGACTTCAAGATTAAATTTAAAAAAGATCAAACAGAAAAATTATAAAGAATGATTACAAATGGGGAAAGTGAGGCTGAAAAGGATCCACATCACAGAAGTCACACAGGCCTCCTGGGAAACCACGGGCGATGTAGAGCCCTTTGACATTTTGTGTTTGTTCCAGTGCAGGCTTACACATTCATAAATTTCTATTGGTGCATCTTAATATATCCGATTTGGAAACAACATATGTGATCTTTAAATGAGGACAGTGTTGAAGGCTTAGCATATTCAGCAGAAAGTTGAAAATCAGCTGCTTCTTGATATCCAACACATTTTTCTAATCATGGCTTTAAAACATGATGTTTGGTCAATACTTAAGATTGTTTCAAGGTAGAATGTAGCCTCTTACCAACTTCTGCAAAGAATTCATTTGTTATCTTGTATTTGGTTATTAATCACCTAAAATGTAATGGAAGATACTAGTATGCCCTTGCATATGAATATTTTCTATTTTAAAAACCTACCTACATGGTGAATATTATTTCCTACTTAAAGTGATTGCACAGTTCCATATTCTAAAAGCCAAGAGAAGAATGTGTGTCCTAAGACTCAGCTTTCCCCAAGGGACCATAGGCGGCTCCTCCAGTTCTCAGTTGCTCCTCATTCCTCAAGTTCCCCGTTCTCCTGTGAGCTTCCTTTCAGCCTGCCAAAAATTCCTTTCACATTTCTTTCAGAATAGATCTCCTTTCTGGTGGCAAATTCTTTGTCTGAGAGTGTCTTCATGGCACTTTCATTTTTTTAGTGAAGGGCGTCTGTACTGCATCTTGAAGTCTATGCTCAGCATTCTTTATTCTTTCCACACTGTAAAAAAAAAAAATGCCATGCCTCCTTCTTGTTTTCTTCATTTCTGGGAAACTCCTAGTTGTATGAATGCCTGCCTTGCGTGAAATGATGTTTATGGGCATGGTGGTCTTCTCTGTTTGTGCTGTTTGAAGTGTGTCGAGCATCTTGATTCTGACAATTTTTATCTTAGGGATGTTTTCAGCCATCATATCTCCGAATTTTTTTTCTTTTTCTTTTTTTTTTTTTTTTTGTCAGTTGTGGGGCTTGAACTCTGGGCCTGGATGCTATCCTTCAGCTCTTTGGCTCAAGGCTAGGACTCTACCACTTTAGCCACAGCAGTACTTCCAGTTTTCTGGTGGTTAATTGGAGATACTCACACTTTCCTGCTTGGGCTGGCTTTGAACCACAATCCTCAGATTTCAGCCTCCTGAGTAGCTAGGATTACAGGCATGAGCCAGGCACCTGGCCAAGTCTCTGAATATTTTTATGCCTTAATCTCTTACCTTCTCAGAAGCCCAGTGAGACACGATTAGACCTTTCCTATTATCCCTAAAGCTCAATTTTCTGGCCTTTAGTTCTTTAGATTGGATCTGCTCTCAAGTTCACTAACTTTCCTAACCATTCAGCCAGTCATCTCTTTAATATTTCAAACATAATATTCTAAAATTTTCATTTGTACTTTGTTTCCTTGCTGAAAATTTCTCTTTCCATTCATTTCGGGAGTGCCTGTATAACATGCTTTAAAGACTTTGATCCTAATATCAGGATTATTTTGGGTTTAGCACTTTTTGATTCCCTGTTCCCAAGAATTGATACTAGTACCGCTTCTCTGTATATTGAAAAACCATGTGTTGTATTCTGAACATTTTCAAAAATGCTTTGACGGAGTTCTGTTACAGTCTGCCAGCAAATTATTTGTTCATTTGTGTGAGTTTCAGGAGGCAGTCACCATAGTTAGGTTCACATTAAAGCTTCTGTCTCACCTTTGGGTGGTGGCTCCAACATCCATACCATTTTCAGAGCTTGTATTATGCTGTGCTAACCTGTCTCCCCACCCTACACCCTACCTGGTCCTCCTTTTTGAGGTTAGTCTGGACCTTGAGTGTCATTTCTATTACAGTTCAATTCTGGAAACGTTTGCTGTACTGTGTGGATATGCCCTAGGTATATGCAGATTGAAAGTGAGCCCAGGGCTCAAGTGAGTGCCTGTACTTAGAGCACCTCCCTGCCCAGCTCCTTCCCTCCTGTGTCTTTCCCACACTCTGGCCCCAGGGACTGCTGGTCCTGCTCTTCTCAGGAATCAGAGTAGCCTGTACAGTGCCAGATCTACCTGGGAAGACCCTCAGTGAAGCGGGGGGGGGGGGGGGGGGGGGCGTGGAGTAACAGGACGCACAGACACACACACACACACACAGACATACACACACACACACACACGCACGACCAGTTTCTCTAAGCAGAAAGTTTTCTCCTGGGCTGGCAGTGCCTAGACCATGACTG